TGGCTCACTGAGCGGCACACAAAGGGCCTCAGGCGGCTCCGCCGTGCCCGGGGCCACTCCTCCTTTCCCTGCGACAGGGCAGGCTGAGGCTGAGCCCGCCTGGCCGCGCCTGAAGCTGCAGTCAGCCAGCAGCTGCCCAGGACTCCGTCTCTGGCTGCCCGCCCTTCCTGAGCGACCAGAACCCAGTGGACCCTCCTCCCTTGGAAGCAGGAGGGGTGCCTGCAGCCTCCACTTTCAGGTGCGACTTCCAAGCGTCGCTTCTCGGCTTTGCTGCCCCCACTCGGGTTGTTTCCGTAGTGTGATGCGCTGACTCCCAAACGCCCTCGGGAGGGTGTGAGTGTGGACTCCAGCATGCGCCTTGTTAGCTTGAGAGGAGAAGTCCGGACATGTCCTGCCAAGTGCCGACCCCGTCCCCAGGGCCCTGCCCCCGAGGTCCTGCTCCCTGCGAGCTGGGCTCCGTGGGGGCAGCCGACTCGGTCCCTGCTCCTGTCCAACCCCACCTGTGAGAGTTCTGTCCCCCACCTTTGCCTCAGAGCCTGCGCCCAGGGGCCTCGCACCCCGTCCTCACACAGGCCTGTCCCCTCCGGTGGGGATGGGGGCCCTGCTGTCCAGACTCGCTGCACGGCGAGGAGGCAGCGCAGGGCCCCCACTAGCTGGCAGGCGGGGGCTGCGGTGGGCGACCTCACCTCCCTCCCTTGGCGGCAACAGCAGCACCGTGGGCTTGTGAGAACACAGGTGAAGCGAGAGAACGTGCACCCCAGACCCTGAGGTGTGCACCCCGCCCCACCCCACACGCCAGCACACGCCCCTTCCCGGGAAGCCCAGAGCCACAGGCTGGGTTAGGACCGACCTCACTGCCCCAGGCAGAGCCAGCCTGCACACTGGTCCTCAGGGGCTGAAAATAGCTTGAGAGCCTAGCTCGGTTAATAGAATATCCAGGCTAATTTTAGAATCAGAGAGTTCCAGAGAATATAAAACCCCCAACGCCAAGAACCGTGTGTGGCCAGCACAGCCCCTCCTCCCACTGTCTCTCTCTCTCTCTCTCTCTCTCACACACACACACACACACACACACACACACACACACACTGTGACATCACCCGTCATGTTCACAGACCATGTCCTCCGACTGAGCCCTGTGAAGCCCTTCTATTAAAAACCATTTCAAATTACAAGCCCTCATCTGAGCCTCGCAGACCCTGTGATGGGCATACCACTGCTTCCCACGGTGGAAATCAGGTTGAAAGTCACTCTCAGACCTGGAATCCTGAACTCTCAACCCCTGGGGTCCAGGGCTTCTTTGCCAGGCCACCCAGGGTCCCTCCCTGCTCCGTCCTGGCCCAAGGGGCCTCCTGCTTCTGGGAGGATGTATTTGCTGGTGGGCAGGCCCACAGCCAACCAAGGAGGCGCGGAGGTTCCCTGCTACGTGCGTGCTGCACCCAGGCCGCCCTTGCCCTTGGCGGTGACAGGGCCTCAGCTGTCACCGAGGAGACGGGAGATGGAGAAGGAACAGGGGCGGGTGCTCTGAGCGCCGGGGAGAAGGGGGCCACCTCTGGACCCAAGAAGGAAGGCCTTCCCGTGGCCTCCCTCAGGACTCACCACAGATCCTAGATGCCCTCAAACCTGACACTCACCACAGTTCCCAGATGCCCTCAAACCCAAAAACAGTCCAACCACAGGCTGGGATAAGGGGGCTTTTCTTATCCTCAAGTGCAAGGCCAGGATTATCTGTTTTCTAGCTTGAGAGAAACCCCTCTGTATTGCTCTTAACTGAACACATTTATTGAGACGACACTTTTAAAAACAAGGAGTAACTGTCATGGAAAAGGGAAACATCACTGGAAAGTAAAGTCGTGTCACAAGTCCTAGAGGAGTGCCAGGTACAAACGACAGCGCGGGGCAGGGGGGCTCCCGATGGGGGTCGGCACCCATCCTGCCTGAAGTCGCTTCCCTCCCAGGGCTAAAGCCCTGACTCACGGAAAGTCAGCAGAGCACACTTCCTCAAAGTAGCCTCGTAGGAAGTGTGCTCAGTCTCACTTGACATGAGACACTGCGGTTACCAAAGATAGACCATGGGTAAGATAGCCAAGTGTGCAGGAGAACCATCCAAAATAACTGCGAGATTTAAGTGGGGAAAGACACAGGTTCTTTAAGACAAGGACTCGAAATAGTTACAATAAAAATACCTTACTTTTCCACAGCACTTTCTTATGTATTATCTCATTTGCAAAAGGTGGAAGGAAAAAGAAAGGGGAAGAGGAAAAAAGGAAGAGACTCTTCCCATTTTCCCCAGAGTTAGCCTCTCAATGACCAAGTACCACCACATATTCCAGACTGAGGACTACAGCTCCACCCCGAAAAGCTCTTCAGCTCCCCAAAACATTCTGCCTTTCCTCTCAGCACTAGGAAAAGTGATGTTGCTGATGGTATAACTGGAGGGAGAATTCCTCAGTCTCTTTTTGGGGGGGCGGGGGTGGGGTAGGGAAGCTCCCACAGGATGCTGCAGACAATGACTGTCGGCATTTTGCAAATGGAAAAATGAGGCCATGAAGTGGCGGNGGGGGGGTGCTTGCCCTGCTTCTTCCAGCCAGCAGGCCACCAGGAGACACGGGCATGCTGCCAGCCAGCCCCAAGACAGGGCTCAGTATGAATGGCAGATCGGCCAGGGTCCCCCAGAGCCAGGAGGCGGGTGTGCCTGTGCCGCCTGCGTAGCTGCCCCTCCTCCGGGTCAATGCTGGTGTCCCTCCTCATGGGCCTGCCTCCATGGCCCAGCACTCAGGCAAGTCAGAGTCAAGACTGGCCACAGCAGGGGAAGCAGGAAAGAAGTGGAAAGCTCGGGGCACCACCCACCAGGCCCTCCTACTCACAGTGGAACAAGACTAAGCCCCTTGACCAGCTCCCGCACTGGTTCGAAGTCGCAGCAAGGCCCAGACCGCCTCTTTGCTCCAGCACAGGAGGAGGCCCTACCTGTGCTCTGCAGAGGCCCTTGCTCCCTGCAAGCCCCAGCGACAAAGGTGGGACAACCCTACACGGCGGGTGAAGACCCTCAAAGGCAGGAGAAGGCAGGGGCTTCTGAGAACTGAAACCATGCCCAGGGATCTGGACCACTATGGACAGGCGTTTCTGCTCATCCTGTCTGCTGCAATCCCCAAACATCAGGGAGGGGTCTCCAACAGCTCTAATAATACCAGTCCCCACGTGGGTTGGAGCAGCAGATGTTCACTGGCTGCACTAATCCCCCACTGAGCCGGGCGCTCCTCTCACTTGTTTAAATGACACACACAAAGGAGAGAAAGCTTAACCAGGCAGCATTTTCAAGCCCCTTCCCTCCAGGCCTGGCCCATCTGTGTGGGTCCAGAGCCTCCCCGAGGGCGTCCTGCCAGGCCAGCAGAGTTCCTCTCCTGGACCTGCGGGGGCCTGCTCGCCCTCTGCTTCTCAGACTGGGCCATTCTGGAAAGAAATCAATTTTCTCGGCTTCCTGACACAAGTCCAGGCTGGCCGTGCGGGGCTTGAACTCCGAAGTCCCCAGACCCCCTCCTGCCTGCTGCACCCAGAAGCCTGGCACGCCCCCGCGGCTGTGCCCCACCCCTTCCTGTCCCCTGATTAAGGAAGCAGCTGAAGGCCTCTTGTGTGAATCCCCCTCATGCTCACTGGCCCTGGCCCTGAGGCAGGGCACTTTCCCTGCCTCACTTCGGGTGGAGGGCCATGCTGAACCTCTAGGCAGAAAGTGATAGCAAATTCCAGCCAAGTAAACAAGAGAAACCCTCTCCAGGCAAGCTCCTCAGGGCTGAAGTGTGGCCCCATCCAATCTGCAGTGCTTCTGAGCCAAATATCAACAGCGTCTCAGCGATGATCCATAAACCAAAATAAAGCAGACAGGAAACAACACGCTGATTTGGGGTGGCTGGAATTCCTAAGCAGCATCAGATGTCATCAACAACTGACGCTCCAGCAGTCACTGTGGGCCTGGCATGGTTCCCAGAGGCCCTTTTTCACATGGGAATGTGGAGGACCCCGGGGTTCAGTGAGCAAGAAGGACCCTGAGAGGGCAGCTCTTGTGGGCCTTAGAAGCTCTCTCCAGCGGGAGCTCTCCTCTCAGCTGGCACGCCGATGGCAATGACGGGTAACGGTCACTCCAGGCACCGGTCTTGTTTTGGGGGAGCTTGTACATCACCCTTCCCAGTCAGAAAAAGCAAGTCTCTCCACATAAACCCAGGAAGTCCAGACACAGCCTCCCAGCCCCTCCCCCAGCTCCGGCCGGCGGCTCTGGGGACGCGACCTGAACGGCAGGCCCTGGTGGCCAAGAGCTCTCTCCGCCAGTTCTCAATGGAAGGGGGCGGGGGTGGCTGTCCTGGCGCCCTGCCCTGAGAGAGCCCTGGGCCAGAGCGCCGGCACACAGTCACAGGCAGACACACACACAGACACCTCCACCTACACAGCCGCCCGCACACCCAGGCTCCGGTCAGCCACCCGCTCGGCCCCTCGCCCCGGAGGGAAGGTGCAAGAGCTCCCACGTCCCCAGCAAAGCAAGTGTCTGGGTGCCGCACTCAGCGAGGCGCGGAACCCCAAGCTGGGTGTTTCTGGCACCTAAAATTCTCGCATCCGGAGAGCCCCGGTGCGCGCGCTCGTGCACACGCAGATACGCAGTCCCTGGGGACCGGACCCAGGTCCGGCGGAGCACCTCCCCCTGCTGCAGTCGACCCTGCCTCCGGGGACTAGGGGACGCCAGCGGCGGGGAGCTGAGTCCCCCAGGGCCACCGGCCCCCTCGGCCCAGCCCGCCCTCGGGGCAGGCGGGGAGAGGGCCGCCGCTGGGCGTCTCTGGTGCTGGGGAGGGGGCCGCGGCTAGGCTCTCCCGGGGTGAGGAGGGGGCCGCAACCGGGCAGCGCGCATCGCCGGGAGGCGCCAGGGCCGCAGACCCCAGCTAAGGGGTTGGGGACCGGGAGAGCCCGCCGCGAGGCCCCCGAAGACTCCGCCGCCCCGCCTGTTCCTGGGAGCTCACCGATCTTGATCTTCACGCTCTGGAAGACCCGGAGCCCCTCTTCCTCCACCGCCATGCTGGGTCCGCCGGGATCCGCGAGCCGAGCCCCGCGGAGCAGCCGGAGCCGGAGCGGCGGCGCAGTCCCCGCGCTCCGGGCCAGACCCCGCGCCCGCGCGCCCGCTGCGCTCCGCCTCCGGCCCCGCCCGCACCCCGCCCATTGGCCGGGGAAGCTGGCGGGGGCGGGGAGGCCACGCCCCCTGCCCCGGTCGCTCAAAGCCCGCCGCGGGGCGGAGGCGTCACCGTCCGGCCAACGGCACGACCCCAGCCGCCCATTGGTTCAGGGCGAGGAGGGCGGGGAGGCTCCGCCCATATCCCAGGCCCGAGGGGCAGGTTCTGTATCCGCGAAGCATCCCGGGGACCGCACCGGACTCCTGGCCGGGCAGGGAGGAACCGGCGGGGAGTGCGGGGTACAGGCCGGCGGCGGGAGCAGGAAGGGAGTGCATTGGGAAGCAACCGGAGGGGCCACCGGGCTGGTTGCTGCAGGGGAACCAGGCCGAGCAGCCGGGTGTGCGGAGGGCGGCGAGTGCTGGGTGTGGGGACCAGGCGGGGGCGTGGGAGGGAAGACACGTGCATAGGGATTTAAGAAACGCAAAGCTAAAGATGGAAAAGGAAAAGAATTCCCTGGCCCAGCTCAGCCCCCTCAGAGTAGGCGCTGCAGGGGACCTGGGATCTGGAGGAGCGGGCAGACCTGGTGAGACCCAGTCCCTCCAGCTGCCAACCTGCTGGTCCCGGACCTCGGACCTCGGCCACCCTGGCTCCTAGCTTCTCACAAGGCCAAGTGCACTCCTGTCTGCCCTTCCTGCCTCCAGGCTACCATCCTCAGAGCATCTTCTGTGTCTACTAACTTCACATCCTCTTCCCTTCCTCTGGCTTCAGAGTGCCCAGCACCACACAAGCACATACACACACCAGAATACAAGCATAATAAAGAGAGAGGCCTGTTCTCTTTGTTACTTTTCCTCACTTCCTTAAGAAAATGTTAATGTGTGTATTGAGAAAAGTTAATGACCCTCTTCACCCAGACTACTCGAGCCTCCTTCCAGGTCCTCAGTCATCTCCTGGAGTTTATCTTCTCAAGACCTTCACAGGAGGTGTTTACTGGGGTTTAACAGGAAGGTTAGGGCAGCAGCCCCTCCTTGGTCCAACCCCCAGTGAGAGCTGCTGCATCCTACTCCAGACCTTGGGGGCTCCTGCAGTAAGCCAGCCTTCTTTTGATCTGACCTGGGAGGGCTTTGCCTCCGTCTGGGGAACTGGAAAGCATCCCCAGCTCCCAAGTTTCTCAGAGGATCTGCTTGAGCCCCGGGAGTAGATGCCTTGATGACAAGCTGCTCCCCAATGCAGTCTTCCTTCCCTGACTCCCTCTCAGGACTCGCCTTCTGAGAACACTTCCAAAAAAGGCCTGCACACTCCAATCTCTGCTTCAGAGTCTGTTTCCAGAGAAACCAGCATAAGACAGTTGGGGCCAGGAGTGTTCTAGGAGTGGACTCTGTGATGGGGTTTGAGAGCTGGGAGCCCCCTACCTGCCAGTGACTGGGGCCGAGCTGAGCATGGGGGGCACAGTGGATGCAGTGTTTCAGGCACTAGGGAGGTTGGGAAAAGCAGGAATCCCCTGGGCTTTGGAACCAGAGGGTTCTTGCTGAGGTCAAGGTAATGAGAAGATCACCCATTTAAGGAAAATGTGACAAAAAGGTTTCTTTGCCACCATATAACTCTTCTACAGCCAGAGAACCAAAAAAAAAAGCTGTGGATCAGAGTGAGGACTTAATCACAAAAGTCGCAGTGCTCCAGGTCCACCTGCAGGCCCAACCCAAGGAAGGTTGCTGTGACCCAGAGGTTTGGGGGAGTGTCATCTGAATTAATGCACTCAGAACCTTGAATCCCAGCCTTCCTAAATCTTTTGCACTTGAAGAGGTGTGCCCCTTCCCCTGTCACAGGCGAATACACCCTCTGTGCTTGGAGATGATTGTGGGACGGTGCCTGTGCTGTGCATCCATCTCCACTCCCCAGCACAGCAGCATCTCCCAGCTGGGAAAGTGCTGGATCTGCAAACATGGGAAACATGCTGGAGGGACCGGGGGAGCAAAATCAAGAGCAGAGCCAAAGAATGCTGGACCCAGGAGAGGACTGCCATCACGGGAGACCAGGTTAGAGTCCCCTGACACAGCATCACTGAACCATGATACAGGATTCAGCACCCTGGCCAGGACCCCAGACGGCTTGTAGCGCCTTTGCAAGCTTGTAAAGAGCAGCATCCCACATGAAGTGAAGTGGAAATGCCCAATGGCTGTGGCAGACAGCTGAGGACAGCATCTTGGTGCTTAGAGATGTGGAACAGGAGAGGAAATAAGCTCCAGGAGCCCAGAAAACCTAGTCAGTGCCTAAGAAAGCCCAGGAGACCTTCCATTTCCAAACGCGTTGAGGGCCGTGCTGGCTGTGCAGGACGGGGTGGAGGGCAGAGACGTCGTTACAGGGAGCACTGGGCTCCCTAATAGCAGCGAGCATGGAGAGGCGGTGACATGATACAGGCCAGATGACAACTTTAACTTCAGAAGTAACTGGGGGCAGTTACTGCAGCGAGACTGCAGTGGCGGCCCTGACGTGCTGAGCTGGAAGAACCACAGTGACGGTCAGTCAGACATGGCATCAGGGGCAGGACAGAAGCCAGCCAGCCGGAGAACTATGCAGTGTACGCAACCAGATAAAGCTGAAGGCAGAGCTCGGGGGCCCAGGAAAGTTGCTTCAGTAAAATGTCACAGCCCCTTACCCAGCTTCCAGGCGTGAGCCCGTTCTCATCCCAGGGACTGCTGACTTGAGGAGAGGACTCCATCCCCCGGGACTTCCCCTAGAGGGGCCTGTGGCCTTTTATGCCAGTAATTCCACTTGGAGAGGGAAACACCTAGACATTTGAAGAGTTGCTGAGCTGGGGTCTGAGTTGAAAGATCGTCACACCCCTGTTAGAGTGAAGTCTGTGAGGTCCAGGATAGCATGGAGCCTGGGGCCAGGAGCAGCTTGCAGCGAGCCCCCAGGCGAGCATTTCCCCACACGACAGATGAGGGACTGGTAGGGACGTTTGTGACAGTTGTCAGAGCACCCACCTTGGTTCCTTGTTGTGCAGGTTAAGAGCTATCCCAGCAAGAAGGCCAAGATGGGAGATAAAAAATTATGACACATGCTGGAGGGAACACGGAGATCAAGACACGGAGAAAAGACCTGATGGATCGTTTAGTTCACAGTCCCATGTCTGAGGTCAGATAGGTTCCAGACAATGACACTGAACTACCAAAATCTCTAGCACACGGTCACCCCACATGGTTGCATCTGCCGGGCCAGAGGTGGTGCACAGCCAGACCTCTGAACTGTGGTGCGTGGCCTCAGGGCTGGGGATGCCCTCTTCTGACCCCAAACAAGGGGGAGAATCAGAAGCAGGTTATATCACATGGCACAGACTCTAGCACACCCTGGACTATCTCTGTACCCTCAGGCTTTCCTGGTCTCTGTTGTAACATAGCCCAGAGAGATCTGGGTGGGCTGCAGAGTGTCAGTTTGGTTTGCCATACTGATGACATCACTTTAATCAGATCAGAGGAGCAAGAAGTTGGCAGTTCATCAGAAGATATGTGTGCTCGGAGACACATGTGCTCAGAGAGTCAGAAATAAGTTTATTGGAGATGCAGGGGTTCCCACATCAGTGGGGCCAGATGTTGTTGAGCACATCACTTTCTATCCAAGAAGCACGGAGATGCATACACCATCCTTTCTTGACTCCTTCTCTGAGAAGACTCGCCCCCACAGACCATGCAAGTACCATGCCTCCTCAGATCTGTGTTCTGCCCAAAGGGATTGATCCTTCCTTCCTAAACTAGAATCTGTTCCCTTGTACCTGTGCTTATAAGAGACAAGAAGACAAAGAGGGATCAAAGCGAAAAGTGATGAATCACAGAAAACACCTGTACTCTCTTTTGTTTACAACTCTGTTACCATGTTCCCTCTTCCACAGAGCCCTCTATTGCACCCGACCAAAATATTTATTGCAAAGCATCAATCTATCAACAAATGGATATTTGTGTATGGCTAAAATAGCATTGTGGATCTTCCCTGTAGCTCAGACGGTGAAGAATCTGCCTGCAAGGCAGGAGACCTGAGTTTGATCCCTGGGTCAGGAAGATCCTCTGGAGAAGGGAATGGCTACTCACTCTAGTATTCTTGCCTGGAGAATCCCATGGACAGAGGAGCCTGGTGGGCCACAGTCCATGGGGTCACAAAGAGTTGGACACAACTGAGTGACTAACATAAACACACACACAAAATAGCATAATTAATTTATTTTCATATCTTCTCAATCTACTTTCAGAAGATTTGAAGTGACATAAAATAAATGACCAGTATATAATGCATAATTAAAAAGGTATCAAAAATGTATTGAAGGAAGAAATTGTTGTTTCTGACTTGTGTAGTGAAAGCAGCTACTGCAATGAACGTAGAGCTCAGCTCTGAGTTTCCTGAGTCAGGGTGAAAAGGGGAGGATGGAACACACTATCTCATGCAAGTTCTGTTACCTCACGAAAGGAAGTGTGTTCATTTTTCAGAAAAGACAATATTTTGGAGGAATTTTTAAGATAATTTTTTTCCATAAGGGATATTCAGTGAGTCAGGGAGTGACTTTCCATCTTTAACAATGGGGTTTGCTGCTTTGCTCATAACAGTGTCTGGAACATAGTAAAAGCTCAACTGGTACTTGTTGAATGACTGTAATAGTGCCTTCCGCTGTCACATGAAAAAAAATTGGGAACATAATTTGTATTTCAGTTGCTCATTCATGTCCGACTCTTTGCAATCCCATAGACTGCAGCACACCAGGCTTCTCTGTTCTTCACCATCTCCTAGAGCTTGCTGAAACTCTTGTCCATTATGTTGCTGATGCCGTCCAACCATCTCATCCCCTGTCATCCCCTTATCCTTCTGCCTTCAATCTTTCCCAGCATCAGGGTCTTTTCTAATGAGTGAGCTCTTCACATCAGGTGGCCAACATCTTGGAGCTT